TGTTGAAGGCGGAGCTAAAATCCACAAACAGGATCCTGGCGTAGGTGGCCGGGGAGTCCAGGTGCTGGAGGATGAAGTGGAGAGCCAGGTTGACAGCGTCATCTACAGACCTGTTGGCTCTGTAGGCAAACTGCAGTGGGTCCAGGTGTGGGTCTGAGATGTCTTTCAGGTGGGCAAGGACAAGGCGCTCAAATACCTTCATCACCACGGAGGTCAGGGCGACAGGTCTGTAGTCATTGAGGCCTGAAATCTTTGGTTTTTTGGGGACGGGGATGATGGTGGAGGTTTTGAAGCAGGCGGGCACATGGCATGTCTCCAGCGAGGTGTTGAAGATGTCAGTGAACACAGGAGACAGCTGGTCTGCGCAGTGCTTCAGGATGCTAGGAGAGATAGAGTCGGGTCCAGCTGCTTTTCGTGGTTTTTGTTTCCTGAATAGACTGGATACGTCCCTCTCCTGGATGGAGAGAGTCATGGTAGTTGACGGGAGGGGGTCCTTCAATGTGGGCAGTTGAGGGTGGGGGCAGGCCCCCGCTGAGGTGGGGGTGGGGGTGCAGGACGGCAGGGGCTGGTGGTGGCGGGGGATGGTGTTGGGGGGGCTTTCCTGGTTGCCTTCTGGGCTGGTGCCCGGTCGTCTCTGTGGTTGTCTTCTTGGGATCTGTTCTCGGGTGGCTGCTGGGGGACCGGGTCTGGGGGCACTCTCTGCCCTCTTCGGAGCGCTGGAGGGGGGAAGCTTCGGCTGGTGGCCCCTTTGCACCATAACTGAGCAAAATTGGGGAAACCTGCGCTGCGGGTTCTCATTCTTTCACACACAGAGTCAGATACCCAGACACACGCCTCCTTAAGCTTCTGTACAGTTGCTGCATAATTCTGAGGAGCTCATTAATGTCCTGCAACCAGTGTTGTTGCTTTTGATGCTTGTTTGTGGTTTGTCTTCCCTGTGTCCTTTTGCAGGAGCTCCTACTCCACCCGGATTGTCCACAAAGAACAATGTCCTTCTTACAGACATAGCAGCTGGTTGTATGGTCTTTTTGTCTTCCTTTCTTTCTTTTTTTTCCCCTTTCTCTTTCTTTTTAAAGGATCTCTCTCCTTTCCACTGCTCCTCTCTCTCTTCCTTGTCCCTCTGTCAGGTTCGGCATTATTGGACACATGTCAGTTTCGAAACAAAAATTAATAAATAAAGCAGTTTTGGGTAATCAAGGGGGGCTTCTCACTAACAAAACCTCCCACGGCAAAGCAATTTTGTTCAGCAAAGCACGGTACTCAGATATCAGTTCTGCTGCCAAAAGAAAAGAAAGCCAGAGATGCTTCAGAGGAAGGAGTAAATTACCCTTCTGTCCCCAGCCCCACATATATCCCACCGTCCTTTGAACAACATCTTTCCTGTTACATCTAAGATGTTTTTTACTCTACCCCAGTCATGGACTTTTCTGCTTCACTAATGTGTCTTCAACCAAATCAGGAAATGTTTATGCACCCTTTGCACCCTGTTAACCTGACATCCCACATCATGAAGGTCCTGGAGAGACTCCTGTTGGTCCATCTGTGTAAAGCAAATCTCTACATATCAGCACCCCTGCAGTTTGCTTATTGGCATGGAGTTGGAGCTAAAGATGCTATCATATACAAGCTTAAAAAATGATGGACAAGAAGCAAAGTGCAGAGATCTAGTGGACTACTTTGTGGCATGGTGTGGAAACAATCATCTCACCTAGTGAGACGAATGTGAACCAAACCAAGGAGATCATTGTAGCTTTCAGGAGAATCAAAGTTCCAACCCCAATCAAACCCTATTTCCTTCATGTGAAGGTACTTTAAGAATATGAGTACCTCAGTATTCATCTAGATAACAGACTTTACTGGAACCTCAGCGGTTAAGCCATCTACAAGAATGGACAGAGCAGATTGTACTTTTTGAGGAAGCTAAGATCCTTCAATGTTTGCAACAAGATGTTGCTCATCTTCTACAATTCCGTTGTTGAGAGTGTATTTTCCTCTGCGTTAATCTCTTCGGGCAGCAGCATAAGAGCCAGGGACCTCGGAAGTCTCAATAACCTAATCAAGAGGGCTGGTTCTGTTATGGAGAATTTAGCATAAAATCAAGAACATTATGGACAACCCTGACCATCCTCTTCATGAGACTGCAATTGGAAAAAAGAATCTCTTCTGTCAGATGTTTCTTCAGATTGGTTATGACCACTACAAAAGATCTTTCCTGCCCCCAGCTATGACAGTCTATAACTCCTTAATTAGATGAGTTACATCAACATTTAATTCCCTTTTTGGGATAAAGTGTTTATGAATTTAATTTAAATAAACTACAACCAAAAGTCAACAAAAATGAAAAAATAAAATTAAATGGAAAAAATGGCAACAAGGAAACCACAACATGAATAATAATCAAAATATTAGCAACATTGATGATCTATCATCGTAGTAGGTAAGATTAAATAGAGACCTACAAGTACTAGGAGAGTTAATGGGTTGGATGAAAGCCGGTGAGTGAAAAACAGGAATAGCCAGGAAAATTTTAAATGATAAAATCACTTATATTCTAACTATTTGACTGAAAAGCTTGTGTGTCTGTTGGTATTAATGACTGTTCTATCACTGTTTAGCTATATTGTTAGCTCCTATTGAATCTGTGTAAATTCAATATGTGCTAATAGTAATCAGCACTGTTTCTTTTCTGAATTAAAAAAAAAATCTAAAAATAAGAAAGAAATGAGGCTATACAGCCTTTCAATAATATTTGAATATATCTTATGCGGGACTTTGACCTTAGTTTGAAGCCAGATTATATTTTTCAGTTCTAAATATTTACACTTCCACCTCTGCAAAACATGTTTTATTACTTAATCCAACCATCCTCCTATGCATTCATTATGTTCCAAAGCCAGTTTTAAACAATGAGTCTTGGGTGTACAATGGTGCCTCCTTCAAGTTGAATGTGCACAAAAAAACCTCCAAAGGAGGTTGATTAGAAGGCATTCTCACCAGGTACCGGAATCTGTGCTCCAAATTCTAAGGATAGCCACCCTCTGCCAAAAACCCATTTCTTGGACCTATGACCTTATCATTTTGATTACTACCTGTCTAATATCTGGCCTGGCTGTGGAGGTGTGCTCTGTTTTGAATGCAAGGTCACGGTGTGCAGGCTTCACAGAAAACCAGGTTGGAGTCTGCTTGCTGCCTACCTGGGGATTGATCTACAGTCATCAAGATTCCTTCTTAACCATTTAAAGCCTGATCCAAGAACAAAACAAAACAGAAAATTACTTTTTTTTGGTTTGAATTCCTTATTTGGCCTTTTAACAAAATATGTAAAAAGAAAAAACTAATAATAATAATTAATAACTAATAACTAAATAATAATACTAATTAATAATTTATTACTATGCGATAAGTCAAGATTATTTTTTGTGTAGTTTTCTGCCCCCTGTTATCAGGTATATCTGATTGTGTACAATAGGATTTTGAGCAAAGTTTTTACCATTAAATTATGCAAAAGGTGTCAGACGCAAAACATTTCAGAAACCGTATGTATCAAATATAATACATTTGGCATTATAGGGTTAAGGAGCAGCAGGACCACCACGCTTTGCCTGAGTGTAGAACCATTTCCTGTGGTAAATTGGCTAGTTCAGTGCATTCTGAGTTTTGTTTCAGCTCTAGATGTCTAACTGGGGACAGAGTAGTTATTTGTGTTGTGGTGATGATTGAATTTTTAATGCTTTGAACCTTGTCATTTATGAATATTGCAAACTCATGACATTTGGATGTAGAAAATAGTATAAAGGGCAGTGAGAACGAAATGTTTGTTAATATACTCACTGTAGCAAACAGGACGAACGAGTTGTTTCCGCTGTTTTTGAGGATTTCAGAAATAAATCTCTCTTGTTCTACGCAAAGTCTGGTCAAGAACACACAACTTTTCTTTTTAGATTTCAAAATTAACCTGGTGCTTTGACTTGCACCATTTCCATTCGGCTCTCCGGCACTCCCTTTTCTCTGCCCTGACTGAGTCTTCTTTTCTCCATGATGCTTTTTGTCTAATACCCATCATTCTTAACTTGACAGGAGTAACGGTATCTTGAAACCTTTAAGAGATTTGATGTGTAAGAGTTAAACAAATCATTTGCATTAGAACACAGAGTGTCTTCAAACCTAATCATTTCCAAAACTGTGAGCCTGTGTTGTCCTCTATGAGTCTTTCCAGAGCAACTCTAGAACCAGTTGTTAGTTTGGGTCTATCAATAGTTGTCAAAGAAAACAAACATGATCTAAACAATATCAACAACATCTGCATTTGAAATAACACCCTTTGAAATAAGTACATCTAGAGTGTGTAGGCTTGTTCATATGTTGAGTTAGACCGAACATTTCAAGGACAGCAGTGAGTTCTTTACCATGCTTATCTCGGGCTGCAACCACATACACATTCAGGTCCCCTGTCATGACCAAACAGTCAAAGTCAGTATCCACAACTGGAAGCAAACTAAAGCTTGTTTTAGTTTATTAGTATTATGGGCTGGCTGTGGCTGACATAATGAAAACAAGGTTTGATAAACGTACGGAATGTTTTATGGCTCTGAAGGTTGACTAATCTTTTTATGTTATGTATTAAAACAGGTATGAAGGAAGAAACTTCTCTATCGTGCCCAGGCTTATCCTGGAAAATGCCACAGGTACACACAGTACTGTCGCCTGCACCCAACACATATCAGGTAAGAGATACAGACAATAATACATCTGATTTTTAAATTGTATTTATGTTAAATGGTATATTTAACAATTTTTTGTGGCAGAAAAAGCAAAAGACCAAAAAACTAATTCAAGGCAATAAATTGTAACTATGGGATTTTTGTCATCCTCTTTGAGATGATTAAATCATTAAGCCAATTTGAACAAACACAGGGAAGAATAATTGTTCTGATGAAAAAACCCAGCTAAGATTTTCTATGTCATCTAAAACTGCCGAGACACAAAGAGGCATTTGTACCACCAAATCCAAATGAGTTTGTGAGAGCGACCCGTTGCCCTTGTGTCTGCCAAAGTTGTGCTATACAAGGAACATAGTTAAGGTTGAAATCTGGCTCTGTGTGGTCAAGGTTAAGGGTTGGGGGCAATAATCCGTGGTAGCAGGCAAGAGCAGTGAATGCTGCCTCCAAAGCCCCGGCAGCTCCAAGCAGATGACCTGTGGCTCCTTTGGTAGAAGAGACAGCAAGGTTGTCAGTGCTGTGATGGAACAGCCTCTTAATGGCTGCATTTTCTGCCGCATCACCTAAAGGTGTGGATGTGGCGTGGGCATTGATATATGTGACATCTGCTGGAGAGATGCCTGCATCTCGCAATGCTGCAGACATGCATCTGCAAAAAGAGTGTACAGCAAGTTAAAGGATGATAGTATTATTACATACCAAATACCAATGGATCAATAAATGAGCAACACAAAAAGAGGCTATAAAAAAGACAACTTTTTCTTATGACTAGCTAAAACAATTTAAAGCTGAAATTTAGGTAATTTATCTGTTACTTCTACACAACTGTAGTAGTAACAGAATGACTTCTGGCATTTTCCTATTAAAAAAAATCCCAAAAGACAAAGGGATAATCTTGCACCCAGAATTACAATGCACACCACTGTTTCAATGTTACCTCAACTATATCAATGCATACCACCTATGCCATGGACACTGAGGCACACCTAAAATGTGTCATGGACACTGCTTATATACCTTTCTTTGATTTTTAAAATTATTTTAACAAGCAATCTAAAATGAGGACTGCAATATATAGTGGCTATATGATACACCAGGAGTGCTTGTTGTGGGCACAAAAAGGAGTTTAAATATAAATTATTTTATAAAAGAAAGAATTAAAATTGCTAGTCCATCTGACCACTCACTTTAGATTACGTGCTGCATTCACACACATTTATTAATTTATACAGTTTTTACCAGGTTACCCCGTCCCTTTTTACACATTATTACTCTCATGGAGGAGTCTATGTGTTGAGGGGTGTGGTGTAGACAGCATTTCTTTGGGTGCCTTGCTCTGATGCTAGGTAAAGGCAGTAGTATAACCACCAAAACCCACTCCAGCTGTAATATACTGTTCACTTAGTAACTTAAGTACCAAAAATCAAAAGAGGTTTAATTTAGGATGGGGCTGTTGTGTGTGTTGTTTGCCTGGTCACATCTACCCGTGACATCTGCTCTTACAAAGAAAGTACAGTTTCAGATTTACATGTTTTAGGATACAGAATAATTACACAACAAAGAGTTACAAAACTTTAAGGTTCGATCTGCAAGTAAAAGTGGACCCTTAAATCCTTTTCTTGCTACCTTTTTTTGTTCATGAGGGGGAAATTACTGTATGTGTGCTATATGTTCTAAAATGAATCACCTGAATGCCCCATCTCCATCTGCTGTGGGTGCAGTGATGTGGCTGGCATCGCCTGAGAGCCCATAGCCGAGAACCTCTGCATAGATCCTAGCTCCTCTTTCCACTGCATGGTCAAGCTCCTCCAGCAAGAGCATTGCTGCTCCTTCTCCCATCACAAAGCCATCTCTCTCTGGATGAAAAGGTCTTGATGCAAGTATTGGGTTGTCATTCCATTTTGTTGCAAGTGCTCGTGCTCTGGAAAAGCCAGCAATTGAAAGAGGCCCTACACAGGATTCTGCTCCTCCTGTAACCATAGCAACTGCGTCCCCGTGGGCAATGAACCTTGCAGCATCACCTATGGCGTGAGCTCCTGTGGCGCATGCCGTGGACACTGCATGGTTTGGACCTTTCAGTTTGTGTTTGATACTTATATGGCCAGCAGCCATGTTAACAAGGATGCGGGGAACAAAAAAGGGGCTCACTTTATTGTATCCCTTCTCTTGGAAGGCAATGGAGGTACGAGCAATCTCATCCAATGACACCATACCCATACCAACAGCCACCCCTGTGTTAAGTTGTTCTTCTTGGCTTTGGGGACACCACCCTGAGTCCTGCAAAGCCACTTTAGCAGCTCCAAGGGCCATGACAGTAGCTGGTGACATGCTATTGATTTCTCCACGAGAGGCAAACTTCTCCTCCATAAATTGCCCCTCATCAGTCCCTCTGGGTACCAGAGCGGCTACTTTACAGGGGACAGCTCTGTATTCCTCAGAGTTTAGAGCAACAACCCCACTGTGGCCTTTTATCAAGCACTCCCAGGGTAAAGCAGTCCCTGTGCCCAGGGGACACACCAGCCCTATACCCGTAATGACCACCCTCCTTCTGTGCTGCGGTCCGAAGCTGAAATTTCTGAAGTCTTGGTGAAAACAAATGAAAACATTTTGAACAAAAATTCTGTGCTGCGGTCGTACCCGAAATTTCGTCCAACAGGAAACAGTCAATGAAAACATACTGCTCTTTCGATTAAGATAGCTAGGTGGAAGTTTAAATGACTTATTATTCAGTTATCGGATGAAAAATTATACGGACAATATTTAATGTTGACAACACAACAAACTAAAGCTGGTAATGTACTAAACATACCTTCAACTACGTCACTTGTCAACTGAAGCAAACAGCGTCTTTGAGTTCCGTACATTAGCTTGTGCAAGCTATAGGTAGCATTACAGAATGCCAGATCATTAAGTCCTAACATTTATCAAATAAAGCAAAACCAACGAACCAAGCTGCAGGTTTTGATTATTCAAGTTTAAAACATAATACGAATACAAACACTATACAAAATACAAAAGCTCCAAAGATTTGTTTCATCACAACTGGGCACCTTTTTAAAGGACCCCGTACGCTGGGTTTGCGAGGATGCTCTGCCCCTTAGCATTAGCTAACATTACGTAAAGTGTGTAAACTTATTGGGTTTTCAATTAAAACAAGATACGCCGATATGGCTATATCACCAGCAGTTACAACGCTCAGTGAAAATCCAAATGAAGTCTTCTTAGATGCTACAAAATTATTACTGACATACGCCGACAACATTCTAAGGTAATGTTAAGGAATCAATTTGAGCCTATTGTAGAAATTTTACAGACGGAACATGTCGATAACCTTGCGCTACTAATGCTATATCCTGCACTTATTGTATTTGATTATTATTATTAGATTATTATCATTTATTTGATTTAAAACCCACTTAGATTAGTCGCCAGTCGTTTACCAGACTAAATGGCACTTTATCGAGTGTCTTTATAGTCTTAATTTCAACCATGTCGTTTAAACACCGTACACGATAAATCGGCATAGATTAGAGATTAGAGAGTTTCGTGTATAAATATGTTTGGAAGTTCACCAAATGATAATTGTTTGTAATCGGAAATAGGTATCCAAATGAGGACAAGTACAGATCTATCCGTATCGGCAATCCCACATTTTCCACAAAGCTGCTGCCCATCAAAGGTGCTGTGGAATGTCTGTTTGAAATGGGATTTGAGGAGGTAATTTAAAACAAATGCTTTTGTTGAGCAAAACTAGCTTTATTGTTCTAAAGTAATTTTGGTCATTTGGTATTTTAATGCAATTTTTTTTTTAGGCTGACACCCACCTGGTCTTTCCTAAGTCTGCCTCGGTGGACAAGCTGAAGTTTATCAGGGAATGTATTGCAGCAGAGAGGGATCGGAGGCTGCATGGTGCTCAGCCTGCAGCAACCTCAGCACCAGAGACATTTTCTGCGGTTTCTGGCCAGCAAGTACCCTCTACTCAACAGCCTCTTTCATTTGTAAAGATATTTCATTAATTATTAAATTAACACTGCACACATTGTCTTTCGTGACATTCTCATGTCTATTCTGTCTCCTTTTATGGTCTTACTAGTCTTCTATTTTTTTTCATTCTGATAATCATGAATGACTATCAAACTAATTAGAACTGGTTGTCATCATACTGGTCCACAGGGTAATCTTCTTTGTATTTAGGTATTAAAATAAAAAAAGTCAGCCTCCTGTCGTTGAACAAAGTATAATCAGGAGGGTTATTCAGAGCCATTAATTAACTTGACAAAATGGAGAACGGAAATATTTAAAGCTGGAATACACCTAAATTAACTTGAGCTGTAAGGGTCTTGCATATTTACTCTGTCAGAAGGAAAAGTATAATGTAAAAAATATACTATGTACATAATATCAGTGAAAAATTTGTTCTTTAAGTGACATTTGATCTTTTATGAACAACTTTTTCTCTGTGTTAGGAGAACAGTATGAGTTTCTTTGTGACTCTCCAGTCCAACTTCCAACATGTGATGCAATATGAAAATCCAAACCTGCAGCAGAAAGCAAGAAGTGTCATCCCACACCAGGAACTATTTTCAGCTGCTCAAAACAAGTTAAGAAAAGCAGAAGAAGATGACCCAGGTGAATTCCTGCCACTCAGAGGATTCAGTTTTTGAGCAGGGATCTTCGAAACTTGCATACTTCTTCAATTGAGGTTTTTTCGGGCTAACTTTGTTGTCATGTCTGTAGAATGTAAACTTGGAACGGAAGACTTTCTGGTACTGGAATTACTCAGGTGGTTCAAACAGGACTTCTTCACCTGGGTGGACTGTTTATCCTGCTTCCAATGTGGTGGTCCTACCCAGCATGGCAGCTCCCTCAGTCCAAATGCTGATGACCTCCGCTGGGGAGCTCAGCGAGTAGAGAACCACTACTGCCAGAGCTGCCGGCTTTCAACAAGATTCCCAAGGTAAATGTGTTCATGACATTGTTTTTCAATATTAGAATTTTGCATGTATTCAGTACAGATTTAAAGATTAGAAAATAGCAACTCTTGGTCAAGATTTGATGCACCAGGCTTTTATTGGGGTTGGTCTTAGTATGGCTTATTTTTATGTCTCAATATGAAACCTGAAACAGAATACATAAAGGCATCTGAAATCCACTCACTCCTCATTATTCAGTACAGGTTATCAAAACATGTAATTTGCTAAATTGAGAAATAGAGGCTGCATATTGTGTGTTTAAGAAATAAGGCATAAGTTATGAACTTCATGAGCATGGAACTTTTACTGTTCCATATAAAAAGTATTTACCCTGCTGAAATTAATTTGAAAGACATGCATTTTCTTTTATTGTTAAAGGGGGTTTCCAGTCAGTTTGCCTTTCTTTCTTTCTTTCTTTCTTTCTTTCTTTCTTTCTTTCTTTCTTTCTTTCTTTCTTATGCCTTGCCAATATGAGAGGACTGACACTATTTGATTATATTACCAAAAACTGCTGCCATTGTAGGAGGCCTGACTTGTCAGTGGATCAGGAATATAACTAGATGGAACCTATTAAGATAAATCTATCGTTTTTAAGATGGCCATGTCAAACTAGAAGAGGTAGCTTTAGACAGGCAATAACATTAATTTAATGTGACATACGAACACCTATTCAGATGAATGATCAAAACCAATGGCTCACATTATTAAATGAATACCCAAGACTTCAGGACCTTTTTAAATAATCAAAAGTGAAAGCCTGTCACAAGCTTTCAGAAACGCATGACATTTCTAACTCTTGGCATGTAGATGTGTTATTGTCTTAAAACCTTTTATGTTATGATAGGTATAACAATCCTGAAAAGTTACTGGAAACCAGGAGGGGACGTTGTGGAGAATGGTCCAACTGTTTTACCTTGTGCTGCAGAGCTGTTGGCCTTGAGGCCAGGTACATCTGGGACAGCACAGGTAAGCTCATCGATAATGTTTCTGCTATGAAAATATAACCTGTAGGGCTGCACACTCTGCACAGAAAACACACACACACACATATATATGTGTGTGTATATATATATATATATATACACACATACATACACACCCACAGTGATGACAATAAATATTTGAATATCCTGCTATTTTGCAAGTTCTCCCACTTGGAAATCACGGAGGGGTCTGAAAATGATATCGTAGGTGCATGTCCACTGTGAAAAACATAATCTAAAAATGAATAAATCCAGAAATCAAAATGTATGATTTTTTAAAAACTATTTATTAGTATGATACAGCTGCAAATAAGTATCTGAACACCTGAGAAAATCAATGTTGATATTTGGTACAGTAGCCTTTGTTTGCAGTTACAGAGGTCAAATGTTTCCTGTAGTTTTTCACTGGGTTTGCACACACTTCAGGAGGGACTTTGGCCCACTCCTCCACACAGATCTTCTCTAGATCAGCCAGGTTTCTGGGATGTCACTGAGAAACCCAGAGTTTGAGCTCCCTCCAAAGATTCTCTATTGGGTTTAGGTCTGGAGATTGGCTGGCCATGCCAGAAACTTGATATACTTCTTACAGTGCCACTCCTTGGGTTTACTTCGGGTCACTGTCATGTTGGACGACCCAGCCTCGACCCATCTTCAATGCTCTAACTGAGGGAAGGAGCTTGTCCCCCAAAATCTCACAACACATGGCCCTGGTCATCCTCTCCTTAATACAGTGCAGTCACCCTGTCCCATGTGCAGAAAGACACTCCTAAAGCATGATGCTACCACCCCCATGCTTCACAGTAGGGATGGTGTTCTTGGGATGGTACTCATCATTCTTCGTCCTCCAAACACGGTTAGTGGAATTATGACCAAAAAGTTCTACTTTGGTCTCATCTGACCACATGACTTTCTCCCATGACTACTCTGGATCATCCAAATGATCATTGGCTAACCTAAGACGGGCCTCTTCCATTTCTAATGATTGCTCAAACAGTGGCCCTTTTTTCACCAAGCTGCTAGGCGGTTTCCCCTTAGCCCTTTCCAGCCTTGTGGAGGTGTACAGTTTTGTGTCTAGTGTCTTTGGACAGCTCTTTGGTCTCGGCCATGTTAGTAGTTGGATTCTTGCTGATTGTATGGGGTGGACAGGTGCCTTTATGCTGCTACCGACCTCAAACAGGTGCATGTAATTTAGGATAATAAATGGAGTGGAGGTGGACATTCTGAAGGCAGACTTACAGGGTTTTGAGGGTCAGAATTCTAGCTGATAGACAGGTGTTCAAATAATTACTTGCAGCCATATCATACAAAGAAAATATGTTTTTTTTAGATCGTCTCTCACAGTGGACATGCACCTACAAAGACAATTTCAGACCCCTCCATTATTTCTAAGTGGGAGACCTTTCAAAATAACCGGGTGTTCAAATACTTATTTTCCTTACTGTACCTATGTATGTATAGATATATATTTGTATAGATGATGTCAAGTCTCAATAAATTTGTTGAAAAAGTGTTTCATTGTGGTTCATTAAAGGTTACTATATCGTCACTTCATTTTGTTCTTAAGCAGTATTACTTTGTGTTCTGCAAATGAGGGACAGAGGGAAAAGTTTTACTATTTGTATTTGTGTTTTTTTTGTTTTTTTTAAGACCATGTGTGGACAGAGATTTACTCGGTGTCTCAGCATCGCTGGCTGCATTGTGACTCATGTGAGAATGTGTATGATAAACCACTGCTCTATGAGGTTGGTTGGGGAAAGAAATTAGCCTACGTTTTTGCTTTCTCAAAGGACCAGGTAAGTTAAATGATCAAATACCAGTATTATCATGGCTTTTACTGTTGTTATAATTTCTGAATATCAGTGCTGTTATGACTTCTTTTTAAGTTTTCATGTGGCATACTTACTCTTATATTAAGGGGCCGCAATGGCTAATAGATAAGAGCAGTTTTCTGCCAACGGGTGGGTTGGTGGTCCCGACCTTTTCTACATGATGTAATAAAGCTGCAAATGGGGCGTGATGACTTGTTTGTGCCTGCACCAAGATAAATGCAAGGGTTGCTTTCTCTTGCAAAACTTGCAGGTCAGTTAACTGTGGCGATCCCTAATGGGGACAGCCAAACAGAACAGAACAACTTACTGGTAAAAAAAACCCTGATAACATGGTTATATCTTTTACCAAAGGGAGATTATTATTATTATTCTTAAAGGGCCCTACTAGATCTAGCTTACATTGACCCCAAAGAGGCATGATACGACTCATTGCAGCAGATATTAAGCATGATTAAATTACCATTATTAAAGCTTTAGCCAAGACAAACCCTAGAGTACAAACAGGACAGATGTGTGTCTTGTGGGACACTTATTAGAAGCAGCACATGTATAAGCATTAGGGTACATTGAACAACATATATTTTTGTTAAGAAATTGATCACAACCTTTAACTGTATGGATATGTGTTGTTGAGCTGCTTCAAAGCAAGAATAGGTCATCTTGTCAAACGTAAGAAAAAGAAAAATATGTTCTCATGCAGGCAAGATGATTATCATGTACAATTTTTGTAGCCTACTGTAGAAAAAATATACACATCAAGGAGAAAAAGTTTGACTTAGTGTGGAACATCCTGTATTCGTGTGAACTCTTAGTTTCCACTTTGCATTCACATGCAGACATTTGCGTTATTTTTGCTAAATGGTACCTTAGTTTGTACAATTTGAACTGAATTGGTACTAGTGAAAAACCCCAGAGTCTCAATTGGGGGTATTATTATATACTCAGCCCTGCATGGCTGTACTTGCTTTGCCATGACAAGGTTTAGGTAGATACTAGAGTTGTAACTTTTAGGAGATACAAGCCACTAATAGAAATGTTTTAAAAGATTAGTAGGGTCAAGCCGATCCACGCTGATTAGGTACTTGTAGAAAACTCTTATGTGGGTTTCTCTCAAGTAACAGAAGAACAAATATATGTTTTTTCTGCAGATTGTTGATGTTACATGGAGATATTCCTGCAGACATCCAGAGGTTTTATCAAGAAGAACCAGAGTTCAGGAGGCTTGGCTGTTGCACACCATTAATGGGCTCAACACTGCTGTAAGTCTTAACTTTTAAACTCAATATATCGTATTAATGGCAGTAATGCAAAGTATTCTTCTTCTCCTCTAACACTGAAGAGACAGCAGTTGCTGGGTCCAGACAGGAAGAGAGAGCTTACGGAGAGACTGCTTGTCGAGCTGGTTGAGTTCATTTCCCCCAAAAAAACAAAACCAGGAGAGCTGGGAGGTCGTAACTCGGGTTCTTTGGCTTGGCGGACAGCACGGGGTGAGACCAAAGCACCTAATACAGAGACATCCGCACAGGTACAGTGCATTACAGTATGGTCTGATACATGCATCTGCTCAGTTAGGTGACTTCTTGGACAACTTAACAAAACAGGAAACATTTCAACCACAAGAAACAACAGAATCATATCACATTAAAATCTTTTGGCAAGAGATGTAGTGAGATTAATTTTTCAATGTATGGAATGATCAGAAAAATCAGCTTTCACATCGAATTTTGAAAAGATTTTTACAAAACGTACCGTAATTACTAGTTTATTGACTTATCACTTCTGACAAGATGCCGTTTGAAAACAAGCTGTTAAAAAAAACAACAATTTCTCCAGTTTTTATACATCATCGAGTCATGGTTGGTGCAGCCTGAATCCTCACTTCTTACGAGGCCTGAGTATGGATGCACGTCCCATTGGACTTTTCAAAGACCTTGAGCTTGAAAAGCTGTTGGTTACTATTTTTTGCATTAAAGTTTTTTGCAGCTTCACCAAAAAGCCTTGAAATTATTACCACTGACGGGTAAAGTGAGCAACAATTCTCACCTTGATCCAGTTCAAAGAAAACCTGCATCCTGGGACTCAGATTTGACTTGACTGGACCTTGCAAAAACTGCTTAGGTACTAAAAAGCATTAGCCTAAAATGCCTCCATATGATTTTGAACTTCACCATTAACTAAAAAATTCAGTTATTTGTTAAAAAAAACAACAACAAATCTTTGGAAATAGTTCATTTTTTTAATTCTCCACTTTTGTAATGTAATGATATATGATATACCTGTATAGAGTTTAAAGGCTAACCAGAAAGCTACTGAAAGATTCCAACTTCATTCATTTGCTAAAATGATATCTTCTTAGGTGAATTAACTTTGATCATTTTAATTTTAGATTATTGCACTCCTCTACTTATGATTGCCTAAACATATACATTTTCCAACATAAAAAAGTGAAATTCGATCAAATATTCAAATATATCAAATATTCAACTCGACACCTGAAGTAGATTTCCAACATATGACGACTGTCAGGCTCAAAACAGGTCTCAAGCGCAGAGATTTTGGCAAAAATCAGGATTTTAATTAAATGAGGCGCACTGGTAGAGAGTGGAAGACAAAGGGAAAAGTACAAAATAATAATTACTCGAAATCAAGGACGCAAAAAGCTAATAAATTACCAAATAATGCTTACTCACACAGAGTATGAAAAAACTATGGAGTACAGAATAATATTCACACATATGAGTAAAAACAATGTGGAGATTCGAGGCAAGGATTTCTTGGGCAAGGTTTAAGCACAGTATCATTAGTCAATAGAATGAAACACACAGGGACCAGACAAGGGGAGATGCAGACTATTTAACACATGAGGGGAAGGGATCTCCAGGTGAACACAATTGGTGATCAGGGAAGACAATCAGACAGGTGACAAACAGGGAAATGCAAGTGACCTGAAAAGTAAACTTTTCGAAATAAAACAGAAAATGATGAGACAACCATGAAGACAGGACAAAACCCAACTTGACCTTACTGCTGTGTGGCAACGTTGAAGTCATAGAAAAAAATAGAGATAAAAATGAGATAAACATAGATATGCTAAGTTAGTTTAAAGTTCACGTAGTGAAAGTTTGGTACATCCTGTATCTCAGTTACCACCTTTACCTCCACACCGACCATCTCCTGATGAGTGTCAATAAAAAAACATTTTTATTGATTATTTCTTTAGAATGTATTTCTTTTTACATCTGTCTTTTTTACATCTCTCTTATATAATGCATTTTTTTGCTATGCTTAATTATCTGCAGTATTTATTAAGGAGTTAGCGTAGGTTTTGGGGCTCTGGAGGAATTATACAAATGACAATGTATACTTATGGGAATATTTGAACCAACATACGAATATTTTAACATATGAAGTAGGTCCCGGAACGAATTAAATTTGTATGCAGAGGTCCTACTGTACATGGAAAGAGTAGTATAGTGACCTATACTTCATCCAATTCTTAGTTAGAATATTGTCCGTCCTCTTAAGGCACAAACATAAAGATTCAGATCTATATAAAAAATTGTTGAATTAGTTTTGGCAAAGTGTAATTGTATGTTAGAATTATTTGATATCGTAGTGCACATGTCACAACTGTGTCAGATTTAACAGACATTGATCCTTCCTTTGTTTACAACCCCCCCCCCCTTTCTCCCTCCCCCCTCAGGCTTTTGTGTTTGTGCCTACTGAAAAAGAAAAGGAGGAAAGGCTTTTACATGTGCGCTACAGTACCACCAAGGACCAGTATTGTCGGGTGTCCAACAGCTCTGAAATTATCCCAAGATGGGATCAGTGTGTGTGGACGAAGGAGTCAGTCTTCAGAAAGGTGGAGAGTGACTGGCAGATGGTAGGGTTATTATTTTTAGAATAACAATGCTGCGATTTCCTTGTGTGTTTTATTTTTATTTTCACTGTGCTATTTATAACTATCTTTATTATGGGTTGATATTATCTGTTTGACCAAAATACAAAATAACATTACGTCCTTAAGTTTGATTTATCAGGTTTATTTTGAAAGTTGTAAAGAGCTATATAATAACTCTTAAATTCAAAGTCCAATATTTAAGTTTGTGATGGTTAAACCATCACCTATTACAAAAGCTGATAATATAGTTTGTAAGAAAAAGCTATTAGGAAACATGTTTAAGTTAAAATAAGAAAAAGGCAGCGTTGCTGTAAACACAGCAATTATTAAACCAGCCGAGTATTATTTGCACTAAAAAATAGAGCAGCAGGGAGAGAATTCACCCGTGGGGGATGCTGTTGCTGAATGTCTGAGTGTTGGGTGTGATGTCCCTCAAGCACACAAAAAAGAAAGCTGCTGATCCTCTGGCAGGTTTCGACTGATACAGTGAGCTTGGTTAGCTTCTGATGGGGGATCTCTCGGATGACAGTGTTGAGCTGAAATCCACAAAATAGCATTCTGGCGTACATCCCTGGTTGGTCAAAACAGTGCATGATATAGTGCAGTCCCATTTTGCCTGCATCATAAGGTAACCTTTTTGCCCGGTAAGAAAACTGTAGAGGGTACAACAAGGGTCATGCGATGTCAACAGCCTTTTAAATTACTTTGTGTCCACTGGCATTAGGGAAAGAGGCCTGTCTTTAAAATGATATAGCACTTTATTGATCCCTTTGAGAGGTTCCCCTCTGGGACATTAAGATTCCAGCAGCATCATTACAGTACAAAAAAAATGTATGACTATAAAAATAAATATATGATAAAGAATATACAAACGAGTCTGATTGGTGAAACATTTCACATTGTTACTGCACTCATTTACTGTAATTGTGTTATTGCACAGGTTGAGTTGTATTATGGTGCTAGTGTTGTGGTGCTCCTTCCCATCTTTTGTCCTATTGTTACCTTTGCTCCCCCCAGACCGGAGTTGTACAGTCTGATGGGGAAAAAGAGGTTTTAAGTCTGTTGGTCCTGTACTTGGGAAAAACAGTCCAGTGTGCATAGGGGAACTGGCATTGCCCATAATGTCCGGTAGTTTGTCCATAGTCTCCATCTCTGCCACCGTCACCACAGTTACCAAATTCCTGCCAACCCCAGAGCCAGCCCATCTGATCGGTTTGACCAGAGTGGATGTGTCCATTTTGGATAGGCTGCCCCGCTTACACATTACGGTGTAGAACAGGGCACAGCTCGAGGTACTTGTAGGACCCCACAGCCTCGACTTCCACTCCCTCGGTCAGAACTGTCAACTGTCAATAAGTAAAGTTGATGATAAGCTCCTTAGTCTTTGTAGGGTTAAGGTTCAGATAGTCACTCTGCCACCAAACAGTGAATTCCCACACAAGGCTCCTTTGCTTCTCTTATCTATCGTCATTGATACACCCCACAAAGGTTGTGTCATTTGCAAACATCCCAATATAAAACTGCTCTGAGTTTTAGCAGAACTCTGCAGTTTTGAGGGTGAAAAGCAGGGCAGGTGAAGAACTGGTGCAGCCAGCACCGTTTCCTCGGGTGCTCCAGGGTTGCGGAAAACAGTGTGAGATGTGATATCCTTCACCTTGATGTGTTGCAATCTGTCAGTGTGGTAGCTGGAGGGCCAGGCAACCAGACAGCTGTCCACTTGCATCTTGTTCAGCTTGTCCTGAAACATAAGTGGCTTGATGGTATTAAAGATACTTGAAAAGTCCAGAAAGGGGATCCTCCGGTGATGCAGGCATCTTATTCGAATCCTTTCTGTGGCTCTAACTGATGTGCAGGCCCCAGTACTGCTGACCTTTTTTTGTGTTAATTTAATGAATTTTTCTCATTATATTTATCCTCCCTGACTTTATTTGCCATTGATCAGATGTTCACTAGATTTATGAAAGGGAGGGGGCTTGCTGTCCCTGATCACACAACTTGATGGGCACACCACATCTTCGTCTCCAGCAAATATCACAGAGAACCAATGCAACACTTTGCAATACGTAGTAAAGTAGAGTAATTTTGATTGTCATCAAAATGCAGGAATTGAAACTGGGTCTGGTTTGCTTATTCTTTTTTTGTTTTTTCTTCTGTAGGTGTACATTGCACGGACAGAAGGCTCCTTAGTTGGAAGGATCAGCTGGAAGTTTGACTTTGTTCCAGCAGCAATGAAGATAGAATCTGTCTCAATCATGGCCAGTTGCCAGACATTTCACTCTGGGAAAGTGTGTTGGTACTTACAGTCCAGCCAGATCATTGTTGAGTTTCCTGGAGGTATAGTGGGGAATATACTTATGAAAAAATAAAAATTACACAAATGTTATTGTGTTAATCAGTGATAATTTCCTTCCATGCTTTTGAACCTTCAGATGGGAAGATGCAGTCCTTCCCCAGTCTGGCCGGGTCCTCAGAGCTTATCGTTGCAGCCGAACTCAGTGGCGGAGATGGGGACTCCTCGTGGCAGCAGTCCCAGGTTTTCAGACAGAGTCTGAAAGAACTGGAACAATCTTCATTTGAAATTGTCATCTACCTTCATGATGCATAAAAGTTATTTTACCTTTTTCTTTCTAAAAAACACAAAAGACCCGTAATTGCTGGTTGTTCATAATTATAAACCTATAATTAGAAGTTAAGAGTATGTTTACAGATGTTGCTGTGTAAACATGCAAGTCCTCCAGAGTGTGCAGTCTTGCTTGGTCTAATAATAGATTAATGAAGAACTAACTTTTGTACCTGTCACATCTTTTGAATTTTTCCAGAGATACAGTTTTAAGTAGATCAAACAATCAATGGACAGTGTAGTCTCAAGATAAGATAAACATATGGAAATAAAAATAAAATAAAACTTGAAAATATCTGAAGAATGGGGGCCACATCTCTCTTTCTCACACATATAAATGTATGTGTGTGTGTGTATATATATATATATGTATGTGTGGATGGGGGGCTGGACCTATAGGGGGAGAAGCCAGGTACACCCTGGACAGATCACCAGACATGGTTGTAGCAAAATGGTATTTTTCAGTTTTTCTGGTTTAGTATAAATCAACAGCGAAGGAAGAATAATCTGTCAATTCACCGTTCGATTTATCCTGGTTGTAAGGCTGCTCTGAACTGTAGAAGGTGTATAAAATTTCGATTAAGACCATGTGGAAATGTCATTCGCCATCTTGCGTTCAAAGAGGAGTATTGGAATTTAAGGTCTATTTTTCTATTGGTTAAAACCTTTGAAACCCACTGCCTGATTGGCCGCTTTGTTTCAAGGACTATTCGCTGTTCATCTTGCAGATGGCGGAGCCGGACATCGGTTGCGGCTGCTAGCTAATAAACGTTTTTATTTTTAAAATGAGTGTGTAGTTTGCCGCGTTTCACGTCGTTTCAGTTAAACAGACATTTTCTTACGTACCGATTCAATTTCAAACTGTAAACACATTTAGTGAGTAAGTTCATGTATAGTGTTTATTTTTTCAGGAAGCAGCAGGGTTAGCATCTTTGTTGTAAGTTTAGGCCTGCTCTGCCACCGCTTGCCGATTTTAACAATAGCTGCGATACAGTCCCCTCTTTTGCTTGTTTTTATTCATTCCAGAAATTCCTTTAGCGCACACGAAGGAGGACCATGGACAATAAACTTGTGTTGGTGCCTTTCTGCAAGTGAAGGATTTGTAATGACGACAGACTTTTAATTTAACTGGAACCAAAAACATTGCGCGCGTGCATCATAAACAAATTAAAGATCACAAAGGAAGATGTCTAACGGCGCCGCAGGAAGTGGAGCTCTGACTTGGATGGTAAGTTTAATATTGAAGCAATAAAATGCTGGACTCTCATTCGTAGGTTTTCGTGCATTACAGTCCTGCAAACCTCAAAAGAGTGTCTTGTAGTACGGGTTTTAAATCTCCCTGGAAGTCTTTTTATTTTTGTGTCCAAGTCAGCCGCTCCGCCTTTTTTAATACTGACCTTCCTCGTAGGCTATTGCCTCTGTTCAGGACCCTTGGCATGTACTTGCAGAGCTGGTAGTATTAGATAAGCAAAGACTTACTAAAGGGGCTGTTCGAATTACTGTAACGTTATCGTTGATAGATGGTTCAGTGACATCAGAAAATGAATTTAAGTATCGACTAACTCACAATTTGTTTAAATTAAAGTTGTTTGAATTGCACGTTGTATATGTAAAGTAGTCTAAAGCCTATAAAGCCATGTTTGTCGGCATCTTCAGTTTTTTTATATTTCTTTGTCAGAACATGGTGTTAATACGTGCTGATGGGTACACATAGATACTATCTATCTATCTATCTATCTATCTATCTATCTATCTATCTATCTATCTATCTATCTATCTATCCTAACACTTTATTGCACATTTAAAAGCCTTGAGTGTAAACTGTTTTACAGTTGGCAAATGTCTGTAACTCACAAGATTTAAACTATTCTTTCAAGATGATGGATATATGATATGTTAACATAAAAAAACATTTTTTAAACAGGAGGCTGCAAATGGTAAAGGTGAAATTGGAAAGATGGAAGGTACTAAAAAAGACAAGGACAGCTCCAAGTTGTCTGTGGAGCGAGTTTACCAGAAGAAGACCCAGCTCGAGCACATCCTTCTCCGTCCAGACACATACATTGGTTCAGTGGAGCCTGTCACTCAGGTGAGCTGGTGCTTAACTGCCGTCTATGGCAGATTCAAGCATAGACCTTAAGAATTGCACAATTATTTTAATTTTAAATGTTGACATAAAACAAGAAACATCTGTGGCCTGCTTTGGGATCAGTCACATTTCTGTTAGACATTGTGATACAGAACAGAAACGTGTAAACAGAGACAGAGATCACATTAAGCTGCTGTATGATTAGGTTGTTTTTGCTGTCCCCTATTCTCAGTTGGTACTTAAGATGTTATTGAAACAGAAAATCTAACAGCACAGTTCACGGACTTAGTAATTTTAATAGCTAAAAATAGGCTCTTAAATTTCCATATGCAGTTGTATCTAAATGATAGATTCTCATTTAGATATACACAGGAAAGCAGACTAGGGATGTCCCGATCCAGCTTTTTTCACTTCCGATCCGATACCGATATTGTATTTGCACTTCCGGTCCGATACAGATATTGTATTTGCACTTTTGATCCGATACTGACCGATATATCAGACAATATAAAGTTTAAAGTTATTTAGCCTTCTTACTTAGTTGTCAGACTCATATTGAACAGGGATTTACTCTTAGAACAACTTAATGGTTATGACACAGACCTGTAAATTAAGAGATGCTAATGCTCGTGTGGATCTGCAGTCTCGATCGGCATTTTCTCATGCCGGTCGATACGCAGATTTTTAAGAATATCTGCGGCCGATCCGATCCAAATATCAGATTGGGACAAGCCTAAAGCAGACTTGTTTTTATTACAAACACAGACAGCAGTAGTAATTTATTATTTACTGGTGAAGACTAGTGGTGGTTTAGTCTTCAATCATGATTTATTTGTGAAGATACTGAAACGGTCAAAGAAAAACTGTACAAACATACAGCAGTTAAATTTTTTTTTGAAATTATCATTAGAAATGATGACTTTTTAGTCTTCAAAGTTATGTAGAAATAGAATGACTACTTTAAGCATTTAGTTTGCTGAATCGGTTATTTTTACTATTGTAATGAGCAGCCCGATTTCAGTTCAGAATTCCAAATTTGTGGGCATCCTCTGATTGTTTTAATGTGGCACTCTTAGTAAGTGCCTTATAACTCTGTGTTATATGATTAATTGCTTTTTTCCAGCTCCTTTCAATGCAGAATATTTTGTTATTCTACTTTTGTCCTTTCATTTCCAGGCAATGTGGGTCTTTGATGAAGACATAGGAATGAACCAGAGGGAAATCACCTATGTTCCTGGATTATACAAAATCTTCGATGAAATTCTTGGTGAGTAAATGCAAAGTTAGATAAGTACAGTGAGGAAAATACGTTTTTGAACACACAACCAGTTCTCCCACTTACACATCATGGAAGGGTCTGAAATTGTAATCCCACTGTGAGAGACATAATCTAAAAAAATCTAGAAATCAAATGTATGAATATTTAAAATAATATATTTGTGTGTTACTGCTGCAAATAGGTCTTAGAGGACCTGCTAATATGCAAAAAATCTGGCCCCCAAAGACTTGTTAGTCTGCCTCTCAAAAAGTCCACCTCCACCCACTATTTATTCTAAATTAGAAGCACCCGTTTGAGGTTGCTAGCTGCATAAAGACACCTGTCCACCCCCACCCCAATCAGTGAGACTCTTAACTACTAACATGGCTAAGACTAAAGAGCTATCCAAAGACACCAGATACAAATTGTAGATCTCCAAAAGGTTTAAAAGGGCTACAGAGTAATTGCCAAGCAGCTTGGTGAAATTTTTTTTACTGTGGGAGCAATTTTTGGAAAATGGAAGAAGCAAAACATGACTGTCAATCTCCCTTGGACTGGTGTTCCATGCAAAATCTCATCTCCTGGCATATCAATGATCTTGAGAAAGGTAAGGAATCAGCTCAGAACTACAAGGAAGGAGCTGGTCAACGATCTGAAGAGAGCTGGCATCACAGTTTTCCAGCATACTGTTGGTAATACACTAAGATGTCATGGTAGGTCAAGGCTGGGTCTTCCAACATGACATGACAATGACTAGAAGCACACAGCCAGGATAACCAAGGAGTGGTTTGGTAAGAAGCATATCAAGGTTCTGAACTATAGAGCGCACTTCAATATAAGCCGCATCCGCAAAGTATTTATAAAAGAAATGGAAAGTAACATATATAAGCCGCACTGGGCTAAAAGCCGCTGATATCTACTGAACTGATTACGTAGTTTAACTGAACATAAATTAACTGATTAGTTTCTGAACGTTCTGATAAAACAGAATAAAAAAGGTATTGATTAGTTTACTCATCCTCCTCCTGCGCACTGAAACCACTGAAGTCATCTTTAGTGTCGGAGTTGAACAGCCTTAGAAAAGCTTGGTCACATATTTTTACTTTTTCTGTGTCGATGTCAGTGTTGCTCTCCGTGTCACTGTCATCCTGGGTTGAAGCTGGCTCTGAAGCTGTGGTGCCCTCTTCACATAGCAGTGCAGCCTTTCGGAACCCATTGGTGATGGTTGATTCCTTCATGCGTCTCCACGCTGTTAGGATCCACTGACAGACATCAGAAAATTATGCACAAGGATTTAACGCTATTAGCTATCCAAGCCTCCCGTTCACCCTGGAATGCTGCTGTAAATGCTCTACTTACACTGATGTCTAGGGGTTGCAAAAACTTTGGATTGAGTTGGTTCTCTTGATGACTGCTTTCACCAAATCAGTGATGTGGGCCCTCATACTGTGCAAAACAAGCAGCACTTTTTTCCCCTTAGGAAAAATCCTCCTGGGCGCTCTCCGTAGCAGTCCGTTAACCAGTCCTTCATTATATTTTCTAGCATCCGTCTTTTCTGGTTGACTTAAACCAAAATGTCATTCAGCAGTTGGTCTTTCGGCATTGTTTTGCACTTGAAAATTATCATTGGGGGAAGCTTCTTTCCAGTTGCGGTGGAGCCCAGGACACAGGTGAAATGTGTCCTCTTGTGTCTGGTGGTTTTCACAATAATGGATGCTTTGTTTACAGTTCTAATTAAAGGCAGCCTGTTTAATACATTGGCTGTTGGAGATACATTTTCTGAGCTTTGTTAAGGGAGAATGATGCAGTGTATAATGATGCCAGTGTTAAGAGAAGCTAATTTTCAAAACTTTTGAAAGATTTCTTAAACATTAAGCTTAAATAACAAAGTTGCTTAGATTTAAAGTTTTTATATCAGGATTAAATATTATGAGGTAAGTTTGGTGCCATTCAATCTTTGTTATTAAAAAAAAGGGTAGTTGGTTCCTTTTGCTTCGTATTTCATAACTTTTCTGATTGTACAGTTGAGTAAGCATAAAGTGATCCTTGTAATCTTTTTTCAAAGTGTGAACACAAGGGTTAGTTTGACTCCAGACTGTTTTAGCTGTGTAAAACTTGTCTATGTGCAGGGGTGCACATAATTGGTACGGATGTCACTATTATGAAAAAGTATTTTCTTCGACTGTGGCTCAGTTTGGTGTTTCTTTGTACGTGGCGATACAGACATTAGTCTATGTGTGACTTAACATCCCCTCAGCTGCAAGTGTATAGTTGATACTTTTAAGTTTATGCATAACATGGAGGACGGGTAACAATATTGTCATGAGCATTTACCTCAACCGTGAGCATGCATGTGATACTTGCCACACTGTGGAGAGCAGGATATTCCCAATAGGACATTCATAATCCATGCATGCATGTGTATTGTAGTGTGCACGCTCTCTCTTCCTCTTGAAAATTTCTCCTGGGATAAGCTTTAGTGTCACTGATGTTTTGGAGCTTTTTTTTGTTTTTTACAGTAAAAGTGATGCAGAGTAGTAATAGAGTTCCTGCTGTCACTCAATCCCCAGCAGATGCAATCCCTTCCAAAAATGGAAAGATAATATGGTCCCTCACCACTTCAATAGCAGGGTAGACGGCGCTAAACCAATTGAGAGGGGAAGCATTTGTATGGGAACTGATGAAAAGACGCACTTGATTTGGGCGCCTACAATGGCTTACTAATCTTGGCAGGAGTTTATAAATGAAAAAGTAAAGTAACGGGAAGCCTTTGAAATCCTGAGACTGGGCCGTCAATATTATGAGCAACCACGTCTCAGATATTCCAAGTAAAGCAATTGTCAGTAATATAATTGAAAATGGTTCAATCATGAATGTGCATCACAAATTAGAAAAGATTTGACAGATTTTACAAATATAATAACTCTAAAACAGAGGTTTGACATGATTTGACATTGACGCATCATCACCAAAACAATACGGTAAATACTTTTGTTGCATTTATGTTGTCAGGACATTTAAGAAGATATTGGTTAAAACTTTTTTTTGCAGTTTACAACTTTGGCCTGATCTTGGCACTACATGACACTTCACGTTTTTTTTATTTTATATCAAGCTTTTGTATTCAATAAAAAAGTGTCAGTCCTGCAATCTTGGTCAACAGTTTTCTGTAAATAACTATTTAGAGGAAAACTGCCCAGCACATTTTTTATTTATGTGAACATTAATTAACATAGAGAAAATTCACATGGTAAAGCTGACATTTTATGTGGGCCATTACAAGTACTTTTACTGTTTTCATTCTCTATAACTGCAGATAATTTTCCATGACAAAAAAAGGTAACTAAATGCAAATCCAACTTTTAGAGCAAACTTCAGGCATCTTTTTGTCTTAATATGCCAGGATACTGAAATACAATAAATATAACCCCTTTTTTCCCCTTTGGATAAGATGAAGTCTGTCATAAGTGCAAGTGGACTCTGGGACACGTTCTGAGATTTTGATAAGAATATTAAAGTACATTCTAAAGCTTTGATTGCTACTAGTGATGTTAGTTATTGTTAATTTGAATAATTTTGGTGATTGTATATCTTTACTAATCTATTGAAAGTGAGCTTTGACTTGGTTTATTCTATAACATCCATCCATCCATTATCGTAACCGCTTATTCCCTAATGGGGTCACGGGGGGACTGGAGCCTAACCCAGCAGTCAATGGGTGAGAGGCGGGGTACACCATGGACGGTCCGCCAGGCCATCACAGGGCCACATAGAGACACACGAGGGAAAACAACTGCACACACTCACACTCATTCCTAAGGGCAATTTGGAATGTCCAATCAACCAAACATGCAGGTTTTTTGGACAGTCGGAGGAAGCCGGAGAACCCGGAGAGAACCCATGCAGACACAGGTAGAACATGCAAACTCCACACAGAAAAAGGTCCTGGTTCCCCCGGGACTCAAACGCAGAATCCTCTGTGAAGCAATGGTGCTAGCCACCGCACGACCATGCCACCCTTATTCATAACATTCTTTGAAAAATGTTTTATTCTCAAATAAAAAACAGCATTTTCAATAAAGATTCATTCAACCGTATTTCTCAATTAACAACACCTCACTTGTGAATGACATAAACGGAAAAGGAGGTCTTAGCATAATTGTTATTATTACATATGTTCTGTGGTACAAACGTTGATCCTCCACTATAGAGGATAACAGACTAAGTCTGGACACATAACAAATGCTGTCGACAATTTCATTCCCTTATTGGTACTATCATTATTTTAGCACATCTTGGTGAAAACATGTGGGACTAGTGTAGTAGAAAATTAGATTATCATATTTATGTGTCTTCAATCTGATTGTTCTGAATTGAGAAATGGTGCTAAATAATAAATGATGAAAAATGTGTTAGCAGAAGTTTTGTAAAATAGCCCATTTCATCACCTGGCCGGAGTAATGCATGAGGTGGGCTGGTCCCTGGTTTTATTTTCTGAGGTAATGATTATTACCTTAATGTATGGGTAACTGATAAAAATTGGCCAATTTCATTAAATAAACTATTTGTTGGGTGCCTCTTTATGTATAATTTTGTGTTTTTGTGTTTTTCTTTTTTTCTTTTTCACTTTACAGTCAATGCAGCAGACAACAAACAAAGGGACAAGAACATGGGTGCCATAAAGATCACCATTGACCTGTGAGTACAGTCATGTACATATAAAAAACAGTTAATTCCTGTTGAAATACTGCTGAATTTGTAGTTGCAGAATAATTTTTTTCATAGAAAGTAAAGTTTGTCACTTCACATGATACACTTTAATACCAGTGGCGGACCATGCATTTCACACCTAGGCCTTCAGTAGTGCTCCGTCTGAATCAATTCACCCCTCAATAACTATTTTATGGTTATCGAAATCATCTTATTATGTAGAAATACAGTAAGGATGTCCCGATCCAGCTTTTGTATTAAAGTTGAAATTTATTTATCTTCTTACTTAGTTGTCAGACTCATGTTGAACAGGGATTTACTCTTATAGCAACTAAAGTTTAGGGCACAGACCTGTGGGTTAGGAGATGCTAATGCTAATGCTCGTGTGGGATCGGACTTTTTTTTAAAAATGGATCTGGAGTCTGGATCGGCATTTTCTCATGCCGGCTGATACAATCTAAATATCGGATCGGGACAAGCCTAAAATACAGTATAAAGATCAGGGCTGCACAAGTCTTCTACTCCTGCAGCTACAGCTGCGACCCCCCCCTGAAAAAAATAAAATAAAAATACATCAATAATATCCTCATAAACTCGCGATATTATTTAGGAAAAAAACAACATTTTACTCACTTAATTTTCTTGAAAAGTCAGTTTTGAAAATGGTCCTGACAGTAAATCCGCCACCAAATCATAAAATTGCCATTACACCATCACAACTATATTTTGGTTTGTTTGCTAGCTTTCCGCTGATTGGATATCTGACCATCCAATCAGCGGGCGTGAATACGGTGACATTTCCTGGGCCTTCCAGCAGGCCCCGGCATCACCAACCTAAAATCTGATTGGTTGAAGCAACAATGTACTCAACATGTAGTTTCTGTGGGGGGGGGCCTAGCGACAAAGGATGTCTGAAATGTGATTGGTTAAATGCTTTTATATGAAAATGCATGTCTGGAAGCAGCGCAACCAGGGGAAAAGCTATGAAAGGAAACGGACAGACTATTTAGAGATATTTAATAAGTCTCCATGGACGAAATATGATTAACATCAGTCTGTGATTCAGATATTTTCTTAGGCCTGCAGAGAAGGCCTTGAAGGCCCTGACGGCCCACCACTGTTTAAAACCAGTCTGTGGCTTCCATTGTCACAACTGTCAATACATTGACAGCTATAATTATTCCCTGCATACGGCAGATAAGTTCACAATGGCTTTGTCAAGTGGATGTAGCAAGGTTGGCTGCATGTGATAAACCTCTCCTCTTTCATGCATATGTATTTTTTGTGCCAACTGGTGATTAGATATTATAATGAATACAAAATAATGTAATACTCACATCGGTGTGCTTCATTTTGCTCGCAATATTTGACGATAGACACCAAAGATCTCATCCTCCATTACTGTTTGCCAGAATTACATTTGACTTCCATTACATGACGTCATTCATGTAATGGAACTGCTACTTTCTGGGCTGGAATTTGCCCACACCGGTGTTAAAAATTGGGGAACTGTAAAAAACAAAGTGGAAGTTAATTTGATTGCGTTGGTTTTCCTTTAATGAATAAATCAAAATTAATCAAATGTCATTGCTGAAATTAGTAGCCTTTTTCTAAATATTGTGTTAAAGGGAATACTAACTAAATACCATCTCTTCTAATGTTGTTGTCAGTCACTAAGCTGGCCTTGTTCAGCTTTAAGCTCTGTCCTTTTTCAGTAGAATTAGGTCAACATAAATGTAGGCAATAAATGGAGCATGATTGTTTTTACAATGTTTATGGTTATAGAATGGCAACCTCCAGTATGCCAGCTGTATCCCGAGTTGCTTTCAGTACCATTAGCCCTGCCACACTCAAGTCTATGCTTCACATGGGGGTTTTGCATTCTACTCATTTATTTAGCATTTCCATTCGGGGCTGGCATCTCAAAACATACAGTTTTAGCTCTGACACTGCAAAGGTTCCAAGCAGTCTGAGTTGGGTCAACATCCGGCAGCTGGGTGCTGATTAAACCAGGAATGACTAGATAAGAGACTCCTTATCGTATTAAAAAAAAAAACGCAGCAACAACAAACGTTCTAATTTGATCATTTCTGTGTAAATGCCTAATACAAAATCATCAGTGAGGTTTAACCAGTATATCATTGGTTCAGTGCTGATTTGTTGTAGCGGTCTTCTGTTGCATGTAAATGATATCCTGGACTGGTCGGCCAATGACGAATATTACCTTAAAAAGGATTAAACATTTTTTCTCTTTCACTCTGTCTTTCTCTCTCTCAATAACCCGTTAGTGGGTTGTTGCCTGTTTCTGTTAGATCCTGAATTGTTTTTCCAAGATTAACATTTTATAGAATTTTTATATAAATTTTGGTACTTTACACATTAAGAATACTGAAAAACACTGTTTAATGACAGTCATCCCTTAATGTGATAAGAGTTGTGTATTGGCCAGCCTTTCCCTTGCAGGCTTGTGAATGATAAAATTCAGTAATTGAGATTTTAATCATCTAGATGTGCAATTTCTATTGTGTTACTTTGTCACTCATCTATGTCCTTTTTTCCTTCAGTGAGTCTAACACCATTTCCATTTGGAACAATGGTAAAGGAATTCCTGTGGTGGAACATAAGGATGAGAAAATGTATGTTCCAGCTCTTATTTTTGGCCATCTGCTCACGTCGAGTAACTATGATGACGATGAAAAGAAGGTTACAGGTGAGAACAGTTATTTTGTAAGGAAATGTATCTATTTTATATGGGTTATTTAAACGGCATGTATCTAATAAACCACGAAGGTAAGTCATTGCAGCAATTGTGCAAGTAATTACAGTTTTCTTCTGTGTAGCTTTTTGTCAGGTTGACGCCAACTGTAATGTTCTATCTGCATTGTAAGTCGCTTTTGATCAAAGCATTTGCTACATACATAAACAGAAAGTAGTAGCTCGATATCTTTGGTAACTAAGAGGGTTATTTCTCCCAAGTATACCTTTACCTCTCACAGAATATTGGGTTGTTACAACTATACAATTCATTGCATTTCACTATATCCTGAATCCTGTGTTTCTGATAGTCAAGACCAAAAAAACAATAGTAAATAACTATTTATTCTCTTTTTGTTAGCAGGTCGTTGCCATCAGTTTTAAATGTGAGAGGTTATGGTCTTTTTTTATGTCAATAAAAGATATTTGAGTTGAGCTTATATTTGTTTTCCCTACCATAGCATTCTAATTAAAACTTTTCTACTCACTTGGTCTTGTATGTTTTGTTGTTAGATTTTTGTTCATACTCTGCTTATTGGCAGCTTTGTGTTGCTGGCACGTGAGGCCCATGTCTTCTTTATAACTACCACATTAATAAGAACACAATACAGTTTTTTTAAAGGTGCCCTGCCACAAAAAAATGCTTTTCCTTACTTTTAAATATGTTAGGTCCATTTGTGTTTGTGTTATGTAGTGAATGTGAGGATGAACTTCTACCTCACATGTCTGCTACAGTCACTGAAAAGAAATAAGCGCAGAAATCACGCTGATAAGAAAAGCCTATCAGTCTGACGTTGTATTGACAGAGCTCATTACTATTCATTAGTTTGCCCAGTTGAGACTGCGCCCACAGAATTCAGCTAGCTCAGACAGTGACAGTTTTCATATACATTTAATGTCTGTTTGGACAATGCTAGCGTTCGCTTGCTAAGTTCACGCCATGAAGCTTTCAGCAAGCTTTCTGGTTGTGGACAAAACCAATGCAAAAGACAACACAAAGTGTATTTTTGCTAATTATATTATGCAATGAAAAAACTTCAGTGCAATGGATAACTCCAAGGGGAGCTAAAAGCGCTGATATGGGTTCCATGATTCACTATGGTAAGCTTTTGCAAATTATGATTACTGCAAAATAAAAAACAAAGTTGGTATATTTCCGTTTTACCAAACACTGAAATACCAAACACTGAAATTAACATTGATTTCACAATATCGATTGTGAAAGTTATGTGTGTAATCTAGTTAGGTTGGGCTCTCATTTGGTAGCTGTTTGCCAATCGGAGTCAAGAACATTATCATGTTGAATATTCATGAGAATTGGCGCAAATGGAGCTGAGTCTTCCAGCGGGCTTTCTATGCCATGCTAGAAGGCTTGAAATAAGGTAACCAAGGCATTTTCTCCACAAAACAATTTACAGAGTCCATTGTAGAACTCCAGACATAATCACAAAAATTATGAAATGGGTGTGGATGGGCACCTTTAACAAGGTCTTTTAGTGAAATTAAAGTGGATTTGGACCAGGTATATAAGGATTCTGGCCTAAATTTGTTTGATATCATAGGTTGAAATTGCAAAGCTAGAAAGGATAAAACAGGGTCCTCTTTTATGTTGTATCAATTGTTAGAACTACGTAGCAGGATCATTGATATGAATCTCTCCTTGTTTGTATCCAGGTGGAAGGAATGGATATGGTGCTAAACTCTGCAACATCTTCAGTACCAAGTTCACAGTAGAAACGGCCTCTAAAGAGTATAGACACAGTTTCAAACAGGTGAGGGGTCTTGTCTAGTAATTAAGACTATAGGATTATTGTTACTTTGATGTGGATATCATTACAAATCCCCCCTCTAAAAGTTTATATAATTTTTTTGTAGAGTAAAGTTCCCACACTGCCAAAGATGAGATCTTGCATTGTAAAGTGAATAACCATTAAAATTACTATAAAGGACTAGAGATATGTATGGTCCATGTCTCTCTCGATAAATAGGCTTCTTCTTTTGTATCACTAGAAAACTCTCAAATTACTAGATGAATATTGGTCCAAGTGACATTCTCTACAGGGTTTAGGATTTGTAGCACAATGTACTCAAAGGTGATGCTACCTAATCTCACAACCAGGCCATGGTCTGTCTTGTTTGAGTGTAATTCCTTAGTTTAAGGGGTGTAACAATTTGGTATTAAATCTTCACCAGAACGATTTGATTGGTGTATTTAGTAATCACTGTTTTTATAGGGTTATCACAAGCAGTCATCAAGGTAAGGGTATACCTATTGTCACCTTTGCACACTGAAGGATTGTGGAAGCACAGTTGTAGTCACTGGTTGTTCTCATATCCAGAGGGTTGTCTGAGTTTAAGAATTGTGCTGATTGCCTTGTAAGCAGGATAGACTATTGTCAGAAATGAGAGATATATTTAAACATGTGTTTAACTCTCCTCAGACATGGCAGAATAACATGACCAAGGCCTCTGAACCCAAGATCAAGTTCTTTGATGGAGATGACTTCACTTGTGTTACCTTCCAGCCAGACCTAATGAAGTTTAAGATGGAGAAACTAGACAGGGACATTGTGGCGCTTCTTACACGCAGAGCATACGATGTTGCTGGCTCCTGCAGGGGAGTAAAAGTCACACTCAATGGCAAAAAATTACCTGTGAGTTCCTCTACATTCAACCATCCATTATCGTAACTGCTTATTCCCTACTGGGTTGCGGGGGGGGACAGGAGCATATCCCAGTAGTCAATGGGCAAGACGCGGGGTACACCGTGGATGGTCCGCCCGTCCATCGCAGGGCCACACGGCGACACACAAAGACGGACAACCACACTCCTAAGGGCAATTTGGAATGCCCAATCAACCTACCATGCAGGTTTTAGGACTGTGGGAAGAAGCCAGAGAGAACCAACGCAGGAGAGCATGCAAACTCCACACAGAAAGGTTCCACCGGGGACTCGAACCCAGAACCCTCTTGCTGTGAGGCGATGGTGCTAACCACCACACCAATGTGCCGCCTCCCCCTCCATATTCATACCAATAATTTTATGTTTGTCTCTTGTGATTTAAATATGTTGTGCACTTGTTACTTGTATCATGGTTTAATTAGTTTGGAGACAGATTACTTTAAAGTCTATTCCTGTTAGTTGACTATCAATAGCAGCACAATGAAGAGTTCAGAATTCCACAGCTACAAAAACTTACATTATCCTGTAGTGTCTTTGTAAATCATATCTGATTTTAATATGCCTACGAGCTATTCACTTTTTAGAGTACTTGGCACTACAGAATTTTAACAGTTGCAAAGTACAAAAATTGCAGTACTTCAGTGGCGCTTTTCCATTAATGCTAAATAAATGACTGTACATTTGTCCTCTCTGTTACTTAAGGTTCATGGGTTCCGCAGCTATGTAGACTTGTATGTTAAGGACAAACTTGACGAGACAGGTGTTCCCTTGAAGGTCGTGAATGAAACTGTGAATGACCGGTGGGAGGTTTGTCTCACCATGAGTGAAAAAGGATTCCAGCAGATCAGTTTTGTTAACAGCATTGCCACAACAAAGGTAGATTACTATCAACTATAGTTAATTATGGGAAAAGTGGATTTATTTCTGTGATATGTTTAACATGCTGATTATGTATTATGTATGTTTCAGGGTGGTAGACACATTGATTATGTGGTGGATCAGATTGTGGCGAAACTCATTGAAGTGGTAAAGAAGAAGAACAAGGCAGGAGTAAATGTGAAACCCTTCCAGGTACCCTTGCAAAGGATTTCTGACTATTTGGCATTAGAAAAACATTGTGACAGTCTGGGCGTTGATGTTCACTAAAAACTATATGACCTTCCTCTTATGTCTCAGGTTAAGAACCACATTTGGGTTTTTGTTAATGCCTTGATTGAGAATCCAACATTTGACTCCCAGACCAAGGAGAACATGACTCTCCAGACCAAGAGCTTTGGGTCCAAGTGCCTTCTGTCGGACAAATTTGTTAGAGCTGTGAGGATAAATCAATTATTTGAAACCATGGCTCTCTTTGTTGATTATGTGTCTTTTCAAAATAAAATGCTATAACATAATGTTGCTGTCCCACAGGCAACCAACTGTGGGATTGTGGAAAGTATTCTCAACTGGGTGAAGTTCAAAGCTCAGACACAGTTGAACAAGAAGTGCTCATCTGTTAAACACAGCAAGATCAAAGGCATCCCGAAGCTAGATGATGCCAACGATGCAGGTAAAATGAAGTAAATATCTAAGGATAAAAAATGAATCAAATTGAAATACAACAAACACAGTTTAAAAAAGTATTTGTGTTCAAATATATTACGTTGATAATGATCGTTGAGCTCCACCGAACGTTCAAAATAAAAATGATTCTAGGCTAATCTATGGAAGTAAATATGTGCCATCAGAATTTGAATAAAAAATAACTCCGAAATTTGAATGTTGTATATTAGTGCTTACTTTTTCAGTATTAAAATGAATTCAGAATATATTTTTAACCTAAACAAAATTCAATGTCATTATTTGTACATGAAAAAAAAAATTCAGTGTAATTTAGCAATGGATGTCCGATTCCAACATCCACCTAATCACGTGACACAAACCAGTGTTTTAAATCAGGCTTTAAGATAATGTATCAAACTTCATGCGCAAAATAAAATATACTACAGAAATATGAAAGCATTAAACTCACCGTTGGGTTTGAGTTCGCCTCCGTGGTCGCCAGCCTGGGTGATACTGGTACTTCTTCAATATGACGGTTGTGTCACGTGATTAGGTGGATGTTGGAATCGGACATCCATTGCTAATGTCTGTGACACGAAGTAACATTGGCCATTTTTACAGCGAATTTTTAGACGCTGAATTTGAGACAGCGAATTTGAGCAAGTTGAATTGGAGGACAACGAAAATATTGCATTTGAATTTTGAAAAATTGAATTTTTTATATGCTGAATTTTTTAACACTGAAAATTTAAACTGTGAAAAATATGTATATTGAAAATTTGATCACTTTGAAATAGGAATGTGAATTTTTTTAATAACTGAAAATTGCAACCATGTAAAAAAAATTACACTGAATTTTATTTTTCATGTACAAATAATGACATTTAATTTTTTTTAGGTTAAAAATATATTCTGAATTTATTTTAATACTGAAAAAGTAAGCACTAATATACAACATTCAAATTTCGGAGTTATTTTTTATTCAAATTCTGATGGCACATATTTACTTCCATACTAATCAACTCTGTTGCTTCATGGCTGAATATAGTTATGTTGCTTTGATATGGTTTTCCCAGGTTTCATGAATTTGAACTGTCTTGCAAATTTATATAACACTGACAAGAGTTTTTTTCCCCAGCTATTCTGTTATTAGTGTTTCAGAGGCATACAATTTGATTCTGCGCTTTAAATGAGAGATATTGCAGTAATCTACAACATTATGCAGCATACATCAATCTGATCTATATATTCTTCGCTAATAACAATTATTCTCATTAATGAATTTAGACCAAACATTTAGTTCTTTTCAGAAATTAATCATGAACAAATTGTTTTACTGTTTCCATAAACTGTACATTTTGCAATGATATTCTTTTTTGCAAGCAACAAATACTGTCTGATAAATGGAGTCAATAATTTTCTGGATTACTTGTTCTTGTAGCTTACAGCTTTACTAAATTAAAATGAAATGTATACATTTTGTTCTTGCATCCTCGATACCAGATAACTAATCTTAAATTATGTTCTCTAATGCAATTTTACACCAGACATTTGTATCAATTATTATCTGTAGTAATCAGAATAACTGGTTTACACCACCTATGAACCCTTCAAGACAAATTCTATTGATTTATTTTTGTTTTTTGATTCCTACTATCACTCATGGCGACATTAGGATTGTCAAAAACAAATAAAACATAGTTAGTGTTATGAGAAAACTCAGGGATACAGCGGCCCCTGACCTATTGCAGTGGTTAGTTTCCAGAAACCACAGTAAGGGAAGGTTCTAGGGTCTTTATTATTTATTGTGTTATTTAAGGGGCGACAAGCAGTCAGTAAGTCTGTCATTGCAACAATCCTGCAGAAACAACAAAGACAAAGCAAAACAAAATTAAATATTAGAAATATCAAACTCTATCAAAAATATTTTGTTTTCTAAGCCTTTATAAACCTTCCCTACACTCTCAGTAACCCCATCCACACAAACTTTTAAATGCACAATTGAGAAGTGATGCTTGATATGAGAGATCACTGTACTTTATATTAAAAAGCAGAGAAACTTCTTTGATGCATCCTCAGAATTTATCATTCTCATTGATATTTTTTTAGGTGGCAAATACTCGTCTGAATGCACACTTATTCTGACTGAGGGTGACTCGGCTAAGTCTCTGGCTGTCTCTGGTCTGGGAGTCATTGGTCGAGATCGCTATGGAGTGTTCCCACTGAGAGGCAAGATCCTGAATGTGCGAGAGGCAACTCACAAGCAGGTACAATGTTGATGAAAGAATTTAGTTTAATGCAGTCAAAAAACAAGGAAAATATATATATATATATATATATATATATATAGAGAGAGAGAGAGAGAGAGAGAGAGAGAGAGAGAGAGAGAGAGAGA